CTCCAGGGCAGCGCGTTTCTGAGCCCTGAGCTGCGGGGCGGTGGCCTCTGTCCCGCCCTCCCTCTCTCCAGGCCTGGCCCAGGGACCAGGAGCGACTCTGCCCTCCGCATCACACTCCGAGGTGAGAGGGCGGGTTAGCGCCCCGCTCAGTTAGAGGCCCCACGCCGGCCCCCACACCGGGCTCTAGTCGCTCCTCCATCTGGAATGCCACCCCCTCCCGCCTGCCTTTCCTGGCTGGACCCAAACGGATGCCTTTTCCAGAGACCTCTCTCCCTCTGAGCCCCACCCCTGTCCTCCCCGACCACACACTTCCTGCGGCCACAGACATAGTGTGTGGTCTCCTGGTCCCAAGCAAGAAGCTTGATGCCCTTTTCTGTCTCCCCAAGACTCGGCTGGGAGTGGTCCAGAGTGAATGAGTGAATGAGTGAGTGGATGAATGAATAAGTGAATGAGTAGATGAGTGAGTGAATGAGTGAATGACTGAGTGAGTGACTCATCTCTCAGGCACTTAGAGGTAAAATTATCCATCCCTCAGGAAATCTCGCCAGCCACGGCTTCGCCATCTGTCCCAGCAGAGGGACGGGGGCGGCGTGTGGCGTAGACAGTGTCCTGTGACAGCGACGACACTGCCTCAGAGGATGGTGGGGTCACAGCGGGAGGCACTGGGAGCTTCTAGCCGCACACCCAACACGGCACACACCTGACTCCGGGGACATGCCTGAATGCAAGCGCCCGACATGGCAAGTGATCAGTGGAGGCCCCGCTACTCTTGTTACTCTTGTCTGGACGGGGGATGTAGAGGACATGGGTTCACTTCAGCGAAGCCAGGTCAGGGGCTGCCGGGCCGGTCACTGCGTCCTGCCCGCTCAGGACCTTCCGGCCTGTGGCTGCTCTGGAGGGCCAGGTGTGACCGCAGGGCCAGCCTGCTCTGCCCCCTCCCAGGCCCCTCCCCGCCCACCCCAGAGGAGCCCGGAACCTGCCCTGGCCGCTCCGCACTGGGCCGCAGGCTGAGGCTCGGGGCCGGGCTGCAGGCGCCCACCTGAGTCAGGAGCTGTTCTGTTTCTCTGTCCAGACGGCTCTGCCAGGACCTGGGGAACCACAGGCTCTAACCCAAGGCAGAGCCCCGGGGGCGGGTGGCACGTCAGTTCACGAAGGTGTCCCTCTCTCATCGCGCCTGTGTGCCAGGGCGCGTGCCAGGGCGCATGCGGAGGAGGGCGAGGGGCGGGGGAGAGGAGGCTCGGGAAGCACCCGTGTAGGTGTCTCACGCCCTGGACCTGGGCACCCAGCAGACTGCACCCCAGCCCCCAGCCCCCAGGAGCAGAGGGCGGGGAGGAAGGGGGCCTCGGGACAGCTGTCAGCTCGGGCGCCACACGGGGCTGCCTTCCGGTCCCGCTCCCTCGGCAACCTCCGCGCCAGGAGCCCGGCTGCTGAGGGCGCCTGCTCGTGAGGCTAAAAGGAAGACTCGATCAAGCAGCCACGGCTTCAGCTGGGTCCCAAGTTCCTGAGCTGAAGGAACACCTGCCAGGCTGTCTGTCTCTATCTGTCCATCAGCTATTGGTCGGCTGTCTATCATCTGTCCTTCTGTCTGTCTATCTGTCTACCTCTATCAATCATCTGCCATCTGTCAATTGCTCATCTATCTAACTCTATTAATCACCTATCATCTATCTATCTATCTATCTACCTGCCCACCTACCTACCCCCCCTTCCCGGGCCAGTGAGGAGCGAGTGATGTAAATGACACCCATGGCCTCACACCGTCACCCCAGGGCCCAGGGACCCCTCCGCCTTCTTCAGATGGAGAGAGGCTGACCCCCAAGCTGATTACTGCCTCGGGAGAATCACACAGCTGTCGGCCACGCGTCCTGCCTACCCAGCTGGTCTCACAGTTGGCTCATCCCGTCCGCCTGGTGCTGGCTCAGTGCAGACCCCGGGCCCCACCTGCAGACCCCGAACCCCACCTGCAGACCCTGGTCCCCACCTGCAGACCCCGGGCCCCACCTGCAGACCCCGGGCCTCACTTGCAGGCCCCGAACCCCACCTGCAGACCCCGGGCCTCACTTGCAGACCCTGAACCCCACCTGCAGACCCTGAACCCCACCTGCAGACCCCACTTCACAGTCTCTCTAAACATCAAGGTCTTTTGAAAAAAGAAACCAGAGGTGACATCAGGTGGCTGCCCTCCAGCGAGGAGAACGCCTCCAAGGGCCTCGTCATCCTCTCTCTACTCCCCAGCGAGCCCTTCAGCAGCCTGCGGGGACCACGTGACAGCCCTGAGCGCTGACGCCATCGGCCGAGCTCAGGCAGCTTCTGAACCAGGCAGGGCCGGGCGGGCTGCCTGCTCGTCTGGGCGGGGCGCCGCCTCCTAAGGCCCTCGCTTCTCACCATGCGTAACATTTTGCTCTGAATTTCCCTTTTGCTCCGTGATTTGTTCATTGAAAAGTGTGGAGGTTTTATCTTGGGGCAAAAATAACAAATACCCTCCCCCTCTACCCCCCACATGCTCTGGATGTCAGAGGCCAAGAGGGACCCCCGGGGGAGGGTCTGGAGAGAGAGGTGGCAGGGAGCTCGGGGTCATTCCGGGCAGAAACCCCAAGACCACGCCCCGCGGAAATAATCAGCTCAGCGTCCCTGCGTTTCCGGCGCTGCCCGCTCCTGGGGTGCCAGAACGGAGCAGCGGGTCCGGCCGTCCACCCTGACCCCTCCTGGGACTGTCCCAGGTCACTCAGCCCGACACACCAGGACGTGGGTGCCGGGAAGCATGTCGCTGAAAACATGCAGCAGCACACGCTCCTGTGACAGCCAGCGTGAACACATGGCACGCGTTCCCGCTCCACGCCAGCCTCTCAGGCTTCTCTCCAGAGAGGGGGGCTAGCATGCATGCCCCCATGGGGTGTGGGGGGCAGCTTTGGACTCGGGAACCTGTTCAAAGAATGGCCAGCCAACGCGGTTTCCCCGCCCTTGGCACCTGTTGGTCGTTCACGGGCAACAGCACTGGCGGACTCTTTGGGGATGTCTCACATTGTGTGTGTGTGTGTGGGGGGGGGGGGCGGGGGTGAATAAAAAGGGAGCCAAGGACATCAGGTAAAACCAAAGGATAAAGCAAACGTACCCCGAGTTACCCTAAAAAGCACACTACGGAATGAGCAACCTTTGTTTAAACCCGTGATGAGAAGGGCCAGCCGACCTTCGGGAAGAAGGTCAAAGAAGTGGAACTGGGAGGTAGGGGGGCTCGGGCACCCACATGTAGACGCAGGCCCTGCCCGTGAGGCTCGGTGCTGGGGCGGCGGCCCTCACGCCGTCGCAGGTTCAGTTCCCAGTCAAGGGCACGTACCTGGGTTGCAGGTGGATCCCAGGCCCCTATGGGGGGTGCGGGGGGGAGAAGTGTGGGAGGCAACTGATTGGTGTGTCTCTCTCATCTATGTTTTCTTCTCTCTCCTTCCTCCCATCCACTATCTCTCTCTCTCTCTCTCAAAAAAAAAAAAAAAAAAAAAGAAAAAAGAAAGAAAGAAAAGGGACCCCGATTGGGCAAGTTAAAAAAAAAAAAGAAAGACTTATAAAAGCAATTAACAGGAAGGTTGCTAAGGCGAGTGGGTGTCCAATCACGAATAAGAACTCACGCTGCCCTCACGCGCGAAGGGAGCGGGGAGCGGGCGGCTGTGGGAGCGGCTCCTCGCTCGCCTGAATGGCCACCCTCCGCCGGGGCT